AAAAAATTTAACTAATGATAGTAATTAGCAACGTGAAAAACATCAATTCATAAGCCAAATTTACCAATAAGCATAAGACTTGCTTAAGCCAAAGCTACAGGGGGCACTACAACGCCCTTGCTCCGTGATGATTAAGGAACCGTTTAAAGGGACTAGACGCATTTCGTACAGTTTTTGACTGGAAGAGAAAAAATCACACAAGATGCAATTAAAGCAGTAGTGCGTGTGTCATCCCACTTTATATGATCGCTAACATCACGACATGTCCAAATAATGATTCATTCTTACAATATACTGATCATCAGTAATAACTTTTCCTCTAGTTGGAAAAAGACTTCCTGAGTGAGAAAAATTACGGTTTCACTGATGAATTTCACGAGGTTATGCACTGCACTACGCATGTGCGAAAGCTATAGGACTGAAGCAATATTTCGGCGATGTACTCATGTGATCTTGGCCTTTAATACGGCCAAAATGATCATAAAACCAATAGAATTTAAAATGACAGAAGTACGCTATGTATTGTTTGTGATGGTTCCGTCATCGGAAATGCCCTAAGAAACAATAGCTAAAATACTGAAGCTACATCATGCAATGATAGTCACATTTTTGGTTGAAATTAAACATTCCCTTTGAAATCGGAAAAATAATTCACTGTTGCATTAAACCAAAACATAACTTAGCACACTGCATATTTTCTTACCAGACGTTGCAGATGCTGCTGACGCACTTGCATTTGTCACAGCGGCACCCCTTACTTGGCTGAACCTTCTTGCACCTTCCGCAGCTTAGAATAATGGCTGTTGACTGTTGATTAACTCTGTTAATCGATTCGATTGGGCACAATTTGGTGACCAGTGCTGCGACTGACCACAACTCGTAACGACTGAGCAAATCTTAAAAATCATCCAATGGTTGGCGTATAAACAGTGTCGTTATATACGTGTACTAACCTATGTAAGCCTGATACCAAATCTTTTGCAGCTCAGGATCAACGATGTCATACGGTACTAGTCCTTTTAGAACAAGTAAGGCAGATACGCTCATTTGAACATCACCCTAAAAATTGTAATATTATTGTAAGATGAAAGGCGTTGAAAAAACAATAAACAGGTACCTTCTCTGCATAAAAACACAACATGTCCCGAACTACATTGGAAAATTCCCAGCTTTGTGTGGCAAGCGCATCCTCTTTGACTACCAAGAAAGGCCTTGTTTCAAGCGAAGAACACGTGATCGACTCTTGCACGTCGTTTGTGCCATTGGTGGAAGGGGGCGTCCGAACGTTAGC